AAAAGAACGATGATTCACAGAGAAACTGATAGATGATGGGTTTTTTTCTATAATGGCAGTTGGCTGCAAACTGAAGTCCACGGAGGAAACTTTTTATAAAAATACACCATTCTGTTCCTTTCCTTTTTTTAACTGAGGCAAAAATAAAATGAAAACTGGAACACCGGAGAAATGCACAGGATTTACATGAGGTAGGAATTATTACACATCTACAAAAGAAAGAATATGCAGCAATAATTATAACTTACCTGTACTATCAATATGTTCATATATGTAAATATAACAATCATTAATATTCACACAAGTTGGCTATAGACACTGGCTTACTGGCTGGTGAATATATCATCTATGGAAACAATGAAGTAATTTCAGAGCACCGGGAGCTTTTTTACATTTTAGAATAATTTTCAATCCCATTTGTAAGGACAAGAAATCATGACATGCATCCAAATATATGGAATATACGTGTGCTCAATTACTTCATAGAGCATTACGATAAGTCTAAACAAAATGAGATCTCATTATCTTGAATTGCAGGACCATGCATCTAAACTTAAGCAGTCACTGCTGAACTTCAGACTGAGCCACAAGAGATGCTGCAACCCAATTCATATCTTATTTCATAGTTTTAGGGTTGGAAGGGACCTGATCCCCTCGCGTCCGGCTTCTATCACAGCAGGGAAGTCCCGGTCCCTGCACAAGAAAACGGAGGTGAAGAATTGGTTAAAGAGGTCCGCTTTATCCTCTGACGCAACCACCAGATTGCCCCAGCATATCCTGCAGGGGCCCCACATTACCCGGCGCCTTCTTCATCCTCCCAATATATTTGAAAAAGGACTTTTTGTTATCCTTAATCCTGGACGCTAATCCGAGCTCTATATCCGCCTTGCTTTACAGAGATTAGTTACTGCATGTTCTCACATCCTGCTCCCCAGGTAAGTCATGCAGCTTGTCTGGAGAAAGCACAATGGGAAAAAAACCAAACGATTTTTCCAAAGCCATTGCTGAATACTGGCCATAGGCAGCAGGGACAGAGGCTACTGGTCAGCACCACTAGCCCCTCCCTTGCTGCTCAGCAATTGTCCCCATCACAGCTGCTAATGAAGTATCAATCTGACAGCTAAACCTTTAGCTTTTGGCTAAGCAGCAATGCTGAGGGATGGGCTCCGCCCCTCCTGTGTGCACCCAGGAAGGGAGCACAGCCTCCAGCAGCCATTCTAGGCATCAGAAGTGCATTGCCTGTATGGAGCTGTTCATATGCAGATTGCCTAGTGTGCAAGAGCTCCATAAATGCTCAGTCTTGCACTGCAGGAAGGTTTCTTACTGGAAGTATATGACACTAGTGCTCTCTGATCTACACTAATGGTTCTTGGTTTGCAGGTAGTTTTCACGATACTAGTTCTAAATTCTAACCTCAACCATTAAAAACAGTCTGCTTTGTAGATTCTTTCTCCCTATATCATATTACTTTGTGGTCATATGAGGTGCTCAAACTGTAGTCTCATTAACAGAAACAGGAGCTGGTGGTAGAAGAGGACAGTTATCTGTGGCAAGACAGGAATTCAAGTTAGAGCCTTCTTAGGTTAGTTCTTAGCATACTGCTGTTTTCAGATATATCAAGAGATATCCAAGGCAGGCAGTTGATTTTTTTATGTCACTAAAAATGAAAATAAACAATACTGGCTTCTGACATTAGCCAACTGGGCATCATAAACAGCTCTTGAATTGAGCTTTGTTCATTGCAAAGCGCTTTGGAACCTTCAGATGAAACATGCCACGTACGTGTAACCATTCTTATTTGGGTCCTCAAAAGGTCATCTAATCCAACCCCCTGCTCAAAGCAGGACCATCCCCAACTAGATCATCCCAGCCAAGGCCTTGTCTAGCCAGGTCTTAAAACATCTGGGGATGGAGATTCTACAACCTCTTTTGAGTAGTCTGCAGACTAAATAAACCCAGTTCCCTCAGCCTCCCCTCAGAAGTCATGTGCCCCAAGCCCCAAACCATTTTTGTTGCCCTCTGCTGGACTCTCTCCAATTTGTCCACATCCTTTCCGTAGTGGGGGGCTCAAAACCGGATACAGGACTCCAGATGTCGTGTCACTCATGCAGCCCAGGATGCCATTAGCCTTCACCACAACAAGGACACACTGTTGGCTCATATTCAGTTTATTGTCCACTGTCACCCCCAGGTCCTTTTCTGCAGAGCTGTTGCTTAGCTAGTCAGTCCCCAGCCTGTACTCATGAATGGGATTGTTCCATCCTAAGTGCAGGACTTTGCACTTGCCCTTGTTGAACCTCATGACATCTATTTTGGGTCAATCCTCCAATTTGTTGAGGTCTCTCTGAATCCTAGCTCTACCCCTCAGTCTATTTACTACTCCCCCCAGCTTGCTGTCATCTACAAACTTGCTGAGGGTGCACTCCATCCCATCTGCCAGGTCCTTGATGAAGATATTGAACAAGAGAGGCTCCAGGACTGATCCGTGGAGCACTCCACTTTATACTGGCTGCCAGGTACGCATCAAGCCATTGATTGCTATTGTTTGAACCTGATGATCCAGCCAGTTTTCCATCCATCTTGCAATCCATTCATCCAACCCGCACCTCCTTAGATTGTTTGCCAGGAAGTTGTGGGAGACCATATCAAGTCTTGCTATCGTGTTAACTGCTCTCCCAACATCCACAAAGCCAGCCATCTCACCACAGAAAGTAATCAGGTTTGTCAGGCATGACTTGCCTTTAGTGAATCCATGCTAACTGTTACTAATCACCTTCTTCTCCCCCAAGTCCTTAGAAATGGATTCCTTCAGGACCTGCTACATCATCTTTCCGTGAACTGAGCTGAGGCTGACCGGTCTGTAGTTCCCCCAATCCTCATTCTTCGCTTTCTTAAAAATGGGCACTATATTTGCCCTTTTCCAATCATCTAGGACCTCTCCCTATCACCATGAGTTTTCAAAAATAATGGCCAGCAGCTCTGTAATTACATTGGCCATCTCCTTCAGCACCCTCAGGTGCATCCCATCCAGTCCCATGGACTTGTTTATGCCCAGCTTTTCTAAATAGTCCCTAATCTGTTCTGTCACCACTGTTGGCTACATACCTCCTCCCCAAACTGTGCTGCCTGGTGTAGTAGTCTGGGAGCTGACCTTGCCCATGAAAACTAAGGTAAAAAAGGCAGTAAGTACTTCAGCCTTTTCCACATCCTCTGTCACTAGGTTCCCCCCGGCCCCAAACCCCCATTCAGTAAGGGACCCACACTTTCCCTGATCTTCCTCTTGTTGCTGACATACTTGTAGAAACTCTTCTTGTTACCCTTCAAATCCCTTGTTAGCTGCAACTTCAAGTGCACTTTTGCCTTCTGTGCATATTTTTCTAACTTGGAGAAACATTCCTG